AAAACTAGTATGCTTGACCCCACTCTGCCCCGCCCACCCTCTAGGCCCCTCCACCAGAATCGCGACCCGCCCTCTAATATCGTCCGGCCCGCCCCGTCTACCCTCACCCCGCCGTCCGCGCTCCGTCCACCTCCACACTCCAATCGTCGCACCCTGCCATTTTGGCTCGAGAACCCAACATCCGAAATGTTTTGGGACATGTAAAAAATTTCATGAAATTTGGATAAGCCCCTGGTGAGGTGTGCGTCATGCTGCCTTCCCTGAAGTCCAACCTGAGTGTATATCTAGAATTGCAACATGCTGCGAGCTGACATGGCTAAACTCAGCAGCCCGGACATCGCAGCAAATGTCGCTTCCATTCTCTTGGCCAACTGTCAACTCGCTGGAACCGTCGCTTCGCACATCCATCCGGTCCCGCCTGGTCGCCGTCATAGACCCGCACCCCCTTGCCGTAGCTGTTGGCTGCCAGCAGGTGCCCGGACCAGGTCACGGAGCGGATGTCGTCCCCGCCGTCGAGGATTGTGACGAGGCTGTAGGCCTGGCCGGGCGGACAGGGGGCACCTGTAAGCACCCCCAACACATTTGGAAAGGGGCTGTGGTGGCTACTTCAGTGGCCTCTAGCGGGAAATCAGTCATGGCTGCAGCAAGCGGACATTAACAGGTTTCCCGACAGGACTTCAAGAGCCGATTCCTCTTTCTTGTGGCCGGCGGTCCCCTCGTCGGACCCCTTCCCGCCTGGTCGCCGTCGAAGACCCGCACCTTCTTGCCACCGCCAGCTGCAAGGAGCCGGCCGGACCAGGCCACGGCTCTGCTAGCCCCAGGGAGACTATCTCCGACAGTTGTGACGAGGTTGTAGTCCTGGCGGGGGGCACAACAGGAAATAACAACGCCCATGTGAGATGGATAGCTAGGGCAGCTTGGTGGTTTCAAAGCCATTTCAGTTGCCTCCCTTTTTGTGTCTCGCTTGTGGGGGCTGATTACCTGTTCATTCGGCTTCCTTTTCGTCTAAAGATCAGCAAGGACCCCGGGGCCCACAGGTCTATAATACTCAGCTTACCAACACCCAGCTGTCGCAAAAGGGCAAAGGCTCATTTGAGGCATCACGCAATGCTCGTCACGGATTTTCAAAAAATAAGCCCCTTTTGAGGATTGCCCTTACTTCGCCCGGCCTGGTCGCCGTCGAAGACTCGCACCTGCTGATTGTATCCGCCGACGGCCAGGAGCCGGCCGGACCAGGCCACGGACATGAGGTGGCCCGTAGCATCGATGGTCTTGATGAGGTTGTAGTCCTGGCGGGGGGGCGGGCGAGGCGCAGGGGAGGTGGGACGGACTTATTTAAAAAGTTTTAGCAAAACGCCCGATCTGGCATGGTGAACTCACGAATGCACTTGGTCACAATGCTCAGCTTAGCAAAACCGAGCTGTCGCAACTGTGCGAAGGCTCATTTGAGGCATCATGCCCGTGCCTGTGGTTGCGTGCGTCACTCCCTGAAGTCTAACCCCTCCCTTCGCCCTGCCTGGTCGCCGTCATAGACCCACGCCTTGAAGTCGTCGCCGCAGGCTGCCAGCAACCGGCCGGACCAGGCCACTGCAGTCACAAGCCTCTGCTGATTTTGCAGCTGCAGGGTTTTGATGACGATGTAGCCCTGGCGGGGGGAGGTGGGGCAGCTGTGGGGCCGCTGGGGGTCAGCAAGCAGAAGCACCCGCAACACTGCTCAACCGCCCGATCTGAGATCAATGAGGCATCCATCATGGCTGAAGTACTACCCTGTTCCTGCGAGGATGGAGTGTCCAAAGAAAGGTCTATAACGGCGCAGCAGAGTGCAGCAGCTCGGCCAACGGACGTCTGTCCGCTGAACTTGCTGTATTCACGATATGCACTTGGTCAGTGCTCGGCTTGCCAACGCCAAGCTGTCGCAACTGCGCCAAGGCTCATGTCAGGTGTCATGCCCATGTGCTTATGCAGAAAGAAGTCCCTGTTGAGTCTGAGGCGTGCGTCATGCCTCTTAACCTAATAGATACAACATGCTGCGAGCTGTCATGACTAAACTCCGAGTCGCCAGCCAAATCATTGCAATACGACAACTCGCCTTCCCTACTTTTGCAGGCGGCATTCTTCAAGCCCTCGAGTCGTTCCCTATTTCGTCAGCAGGTTGCCCGACATCGCGGACTTTGCTGGCCAACTGTCCCCTCGCCCCGGACCCCTTCGCCCCGCCTGCTTGCTGTCGTGGACCCGCACATGCCCCCCCGTTGTCGCCGACTGCCAACAGCTGGCCGGACCATGCCATGGACATGGCACCACGAGTAGCCTCCGAGAAGGATGTGACGAGGCTGAAGTCCTGGCGTGCAGGAGCGCAGGGTGGAGGGTGGGCTGCTGGTGGCACGGCCCACAGCACGAAAAGTGGCAAAGAGGCCTCGTTGCTGACACAGCAGTCTTCCTGCGGGGCAACACGTGTGGACCTTCGCTCATGCACCTTCTGGCCCTACGTGGGGTCGTCCTTGTTCTGCTTTTGTATCTCGCTTGGATTCGGCTTCAAACCACAACCTTGTGGGCAAGTGTAGCTGGAGCAGGTCCCCTGCAGGTTGGTGGACCTGGTGGTGGTGGTGGTGGTGGTGGTGGTGGTGGTGGTGGTGGTGGTGGTGGTGGTGGTGGTGGTGGTGGTGGTGGTGGTGGTGGTGGTGGTGGTGGTGGTGGTGGTGGTGGTGGTGGTGGTGGTGGTGGTGGTGGTCGTGGTGGTGGTGGTGGTGGTGGTGGTGGTGGTCGTGGTCGTGGTCGTGGTCGTGGTCGTGGTCGTGGTCGTGGTGGTGGTGGTGGTGGTGGTGGTGGTGGTGGTGGTGGTGGTCGTGGTCGTGGTCGTGGTGGCGGCGGCGCTCATGGTGGTCGTGGCGGCCTCAACCACCTTGATTTCGGCCACCTTGATGTTGTTGAGACCATCACCGCCTTCGCGTCAGATTTGGTCCAAGAGTGCAGAGGCACATCGAAGGATTGCTCACCGTGTGTGCACCAATTTTGGCCAATAAAAAAAGAATCTCTCCTGGAGCCCCTGAAACGCTGACCATAATTTCTCGTTAAACGGTGAACCATAGGTTTGATTCCGAAAGGTCGGAATCACATCAACAGCGGTCTAATTTAGTGAGCCTTCAACCGTCCCAACTTTGGGTACCCAATTTTGGGCACCCAATTTTGACACATACTCAGCTGCGGCCTGACAGAAAACTCTCAAGCTTAGAAAGGTCGAAGAACCCTTGTCAAGCGATGTCGTCTTGACGCACAGTCTTGGACTTTGTCCCTTCCTGGTGCGTTCTACATGGAACAACAAAAAAAGGTCACGTTCTTTTCCAAACGATGCACCTATATCAAAGCTGCATGTTGCGCCTCGCTGGGAACAAGGCGGCTGTGAAGCTGCTGCGTGAGAGTTCTCAAGACTGGCTCAAGATGCACGGATGGTCTTTGAACCCTCTCTTTTCCTTTTGGGGAAGCGCCTGACTTTGATGCATCTTCACCATGTGGAACCTTCATGAAGCCGAGGAAAGTTGCACAAGGCTCAAACTGTCAAGGGCTCTATTGAAGTCGCTGAAGGATTCTCTGCCAGCAGGACATGTAGAACCCAAACATCTTGCACGATGACAGGAGAGATCAAAGAACCAACAAGCAAAGTTGCCTTTCATTATGGTCATGCTCGAAAAGTGTTTATTGGTTCCAAATGTGAACAAACCAAGGACACATGAAGGCGAAGGTTGTCTGCAGGAAAACAGATCGCATTCATCGGGCTAACTTGTTTTCACTCATGACTCTTGAAGTAGCAGAGCTTTCGAACCACAAGAAAAAGGCACATTGGGTTGTTGTGTTCCCAGTCCTGGAGCCCGACGAGGCCCCAGAGCAAAAGAGGCTGAAAATTCGGGGACCCGCGACAGAAAATGGCTTCCAGGAGCAAACTGAGAATGGCAGGAGGTGGAGTCGTCCTCCGATGAAATGATGTCAATGAGGCGCAAACGCCAGTGAGGAGGAAGTCGACGGCAACACAGGCTAAGGGCCAAGGCCAAGGCGTTGAGAAAGCAGGGCACTTTCAAGAAGCGAACCTATTCCAACGGCCTGTCGGAGCAGACCTGGAAGCTTGGTTTCACACACTTGATGCCGGATGTGTGAGATCCCGGACATATCGAAGATCAAGAAACCTTGCAAGAAGGAGGTGCAGGTGCTTGCAGCATCTTGCAGCTGTGCACAGTTCGACGCGCTTGTTCCTCAATGCGGTGTCCTGGTTCTACTTGGGTTCAGCCAAGCATTTTGCTTGGTTTCATTGTCATGTGTTCCGCCGTTTGCTGCTTGCCGCTGCCAATGGTTTTCAGTCCTTGCATGCGTTTGTATTTCTTTTGCGTGCAAGGAACACAATGGATTAGAAACTGCTTTATGTGCTGCTGCTGATGTTTTCGTAGATCGGAGCGTTTCTGCATTTTATTTGCTCAGGGGTTTCGATACATACATACAGTTACGTACATACATACATACATACATACATACATACATACATACATACATACATACATACACACATACACACATACACACATACACACATACATCCATACATCCATACATCCATACATCCATACATCCATACATCCAGACAGCCATACAGCCACGCATCCATACAGCCAGACAGGCATGCATGCATGCATGCATGCATGCATGCATGCATGCACACACACACACACTTGTCTTGCTTACGTTATGGAGCATGTCACTCTCACAGTGTTTTCACACCAGTCCGTTCGCCCCCCACCTGTGAGGGCCCAGACAAAGAGGCGAACCGCCGTGGCTGGCACGGTAATTGTGGCTTCGTGCCATGCGCTTCCCTGGCAGACGCACTCAGACTTGCATGCACTGGAAGTGGTTTAGTTCTAAGTCTTGCCTTGGGATAACATGTGATTTCAAGGTCAGTCTATGAGGGTCTATGGATATCCATGGTCTCTGGATAGCATCACGTCATGGCAGTAACAAGGTCAACATTGACGAGTCCGGATCGACTGTCGACCAAGTCTCGTGGAACTCGGCGTGACACTGCGACAGGGGTATCGCCCCGCCTTGTCACCCTGGCGTTCGATGATGAGGTGGCGCATGATCTGATCACCCGATGTGTAGGTGAAGCGCAGAAGCTTCCCCTGCGGTTCTTGGATCGACTGACCCCAAAACTTGCAGGGACCAACTTGGGGGGGCAGCACACGCAACCACTTGCGGAGGTTTGGAAACATCTGCAGCCCGCCTGAAAGCTATACTTGATTTTGACCGGAATTTCAGAGGTTGCCACGAAAGGCGGACACATCATCACAAACTGGCCATCGGTCAAATTGGCGTACGCGTAGGATTCGCCTCCAGCAGTGCAAAGCCCAAGCACAAACCAAACGCACATACTGCCGAGGCGTGTTCGTTGAAGTTGGGCAATTCACGAGCAAGTCCTGCGAAGTCTCTGATTTAAGCTAGGACTTTGTTTTTGCTCCAGGTATCTTGTGTTTTCCACGGCTCTTGAATGGTCCGTAAGATGCGCTTGTCTTGCTCGGCCGACAGTACACTTGCAACTACCTCTGTAGACTGGAAACCGATGTGAACCGTAAGGCCGTCTCAAGTTTTTGGCGGAGGCACCTCCTGCGGTGTCGTGCACCCACGGTTCCATCTTCTCGTTCGGGACGTTGACCCAGTGGCAAAGGTCGGAGTCAAAAATGCCTCGGACGCGGTCAGATATCCCTGTTAAGCCCATTCAAACCGGATGACAGAGACACATTGCAATTGAAAAAACATCTGGTGCTCACAAAGATGAAAAACGGCAGAGAACAGTCAAAAAAACAAAACAGAACCCGCCCGTCCTCCGACCTAGGCCTAGCTTTGCTGGCTGATCAACTCTGATCCCGAGCAAGGTCATGCTCAGGTCTGGGTTCCCGACAGATCCCTTCCTATCTCCTCGTACAAGCTGAGGCACAGTTGATCGCTTCTGCTGGAGTTCGTCCAGCTTGCTCCTCCGCCTCGATGCCTGCAACCAGGCGAGAAGCGCCAAAGTCGCCGGCGCTTCTCTTCAAAGCCTCCGTCTGCTGCTGCAATAAGCCCTGTCCCTTGGTACAGGAGTATGGAGATTCAGAGCAGAGCTCTGCGGCGGTTGAAGACAAGAAAGTCAAGAAAGTCAAGGCAGCAAGGCGAAGGCGGCGAAGCAGCAAGCCCGCCATGCTGCGAAGGTTGCAAAGGCTGCAAGGGCCCTCAGCACTCTCTGAAAGTCGCTGAAAACCGGCTTTGAGCCCGGAATCGCCGAGGACAGGCCACAACTTGCCATGTTAGTGCGACTGGGGCAGAAAAGAGCCCACAAAGGTGCTCGTTTAGTTATCGACACCAGAGAGCTGAGAGCTTCGAATGCTTGCGCCGACTTTGCAGAGTCATTCTGGAGCTTAGAGGTTGCTGCCGAAGTCGTGAACTGCAGCAGCGAAACGCAAAAGGTTCCAGCGCTGCCTTGCGCGAGCGCAGCAGGGTGAACAGCGCCTGAGGAGAGGTATACTGGCTGAATGACGGGAATGATTTGTGATGATTTGTGATGATTTGTGATGATTTGTGATGATTTGTGATGATTTGTGATAATTTGTGCCTCATCCCTTCCAAGCGCCTGAGCTTCCCAGAGATCCCGGAGCCAAAGCTAAACTGTAAAGGCCTGTTGGTCTCCTCAAAACCTGGAGCGCACCCTATGAAGCCAGGCCGCAAGAAATCTGAAAGTATCGGACCGCCCTCCCTCCCCCTCTCCACTTCCCTCGGCTGGCCTGTGAAGCGATCCCGACCCGGAGCTGAAGACGACAGGAAATTTCTGAGACACCTTCGATTCGATTCCCATGTTCTCAGAAACTTGTTCCAACTTACCGCGCTGTTAAGTCTATCCAAAGCCAACCTGCCAGCACCAGTGCCCAGCCCTTGTGTTTGTCACAGCTGCCTGTGTCTCTATCAAAAGATCATACGCAATGCATGCACGCATGCTGCAGGTCAGCAAGGGAGTTCGAGGCACACAACGCAACCTCTCGTCCGGAGCTTCTAGGTTCTGAGGACTGCGCGCAAAGAGAGCAGGAGGACCATTCCTGGACCAAAGATGACTGATGAGATATCCCAAATTTTAGAGAAACGCCAGCATTCCCAGCGCATGCACAATCACGATGTCCTTGGCAGAGAACTGAAACTGTTTTTTTCTCGGCCAACCACGGAAGAGCTGATCTTAGGAAACATTCTAAGTGCCTACGTCGGGACATTCAGTTGCCTGTGTAGCAACGTGTGGACACAGAGCTGGAGGTTTCACCTGCTTTCAGGCTATCGTGACTGGAACTGGAACGCGCGGCATCTCGGCCCGGACAAAATGCCAGTGGGTGAGGGCTTAACGCCGACCCACCTGGGTCCTTGTTCGCATGTCAAAACTGGGGCCTGCATCAACTCTAGTCACTCTAGTCAAGCACAGCGACGATAAACCATTGCAGCCTTGCGGCGTACTATATATTGTCGTATTGTGGCATAGTGTTGTATGAAGTATGGAGCCGATGCCTTCGTGAATCTTGGCGAGACGGAAGCACGTGGAAGGTACCCCAGCGCGCAACCCTCAGCCCCTCAACTCGTCTTCTCCCGATTCTCCCTCAGCTTGGCCAGATGCCGCTAGGAGCGCCTCATGGCCACGCGCCTTGCCCTGTGCACTCGAGCATGGCAGAAATCGCAGGACGACTTCTGGCAGCCGTTTGGGCTGGCCATGAAGGCGCAGGGGCGGCAGCCGAGGTTGCAGAAGCGTTGAAGTGCTCGGCGTCTTGCGGCTCTCTCTTCCCTCCTTCGCTTCGCCAGCTCCTGGTCCAATTCGCCTTGCAGCAGGCTGTCATTCGCTTGAGCCGCCTCGGCCTCCGACTGTCAGGCGTCTGGAAGAAGCAGAAGAAGCAGACCCACCTTGCCTACCCTTCCCCCTCGCCGCGTGGGGAAGCTGCCGTCCCATGCCATGGGGGACCAACACTCAAGGACCCCCCTTTTCCCGCCCCTGCTGGGACCCAAGGCCAGGATGCTCCGTATTCTGCTGGCGGATCGCGTCCTCAACACGAGGGCAAGGGGCTGGACCGCCCCTTGCAACTTGTGCCCCTTCAGTGGCCGAGGCGGCTGCAGGCAAGCGCTACGCCGCTACGATTGGCAGGCAAAACCGCCGAGAGCTAAGCAACCCACATCGAAGCAAGAGACCCGAACATGTTTAAACATGTTAGCAAACAGCAGGGTAGCGACATCATTTCAATCTTGCGTGGCAGCTTGTCTGAAAAGTGTGCTGTGTCGAAGTCCGTGCCTTCCAACCCCTTACTTTGACTGCAACGCTGCAATCTTTAGGGCAACTGAGGCCGCGTCCTTGCCCCTGCGACTGCATGTGAGGCCCCTCCATCTCTGGGTTCAGGTTGTCCATGTCTTCTTTGCGAGGAGTCGGGCAGACCCCGCACTGGGGCGCCGTTGAACAGCTTACCCGACTCGACCAACGCAAGCTAACAAAAAGGAATCTGGCTGCCCCTGGACCAGCCAAAGCTCAAAGGAGCCTTCTCTGAGAGCCAAATCCGAAGGGGTGATGCAAAGGACATACTTGCAAATTTTGACAGGGGATCAGGACTGGACCTCAAGTTGGGCTGATGCGGGCTGTTGTTGAAGCTTGGCCCGTTGGCTTTGGCCGGACCCCGGGCTTTAAGGGCAGTGTTCAGCCAACCTGAAACTCATGGCGCCTCTGCAATCCGAGAACCCTTTGAAAGCCGCTCTTCGACCTGAGGACAACCTCCGAAAAAAACGGCTCCCCCGTCTCAGCTCCAGTCTCTTTCCGGTGCACCTTTGCAACGCCTCACGAGAGCCAAGGCCGTCGGCAGACGTGTCAGCAAAGCTTAGCGGCTGCAGAACAGGAGCCCAGTCTATGGCCCATTGCAGTTGTTAAGGACAGCGACTAACTAAGATCAGGCGCACTGGCACTTGCGCACAGAAGAATCCGGAAATCTACCGCTCCTAGAAGCATGATTTTGGATCCCCTACGACAAGGCGGCATCCTAAAGGGTTGTAGGCATTAAACACCGGGGGTTCACTGTTGTCAAGCAGAAGGTCCAGCCGTTTGAAGCTGGGACTTCAGTGAGGGTTCAGGGTTACAGGGGATGTTTGCAGGCACGGGCTTCCCCCCTTTGGCCAGACACCAACAACAGCCCTCTTCCCCTGAGTCATACACGCCGCAAGCCCGAATCCGTGTGGGCAACCTAAATACTGAGCTCCACACTGCAAGAGGATGCCCAAGAGGAGCCGTGCTTCAGAGAACTGGCCATGAGGGATGCCGGGTTGCAGTTTCGGGTTGCCTTATTTGGGTTTGGAGTAGTGTGGGGCACGCAACAGCTCAGGGCTTGAGATTGGGGCTTTGGGTCGCAAGGGCGATTCCCGCCCCTGCTCAAAGCGAAACATGTATCGCAAAAGCTCAAGGCTCTCTGAAGCCCAAAGGCCCACTCAACACCCTCAACATCTCCAGCACTCGCCTCAAGTGCGCCTTGGAGTGGCCTAGTGGCCCTTTGCTCATCTTGTGCCTCCATGTGCTTGGAGATTCGACTTCGAAGTTGGGAACAAACTTGGAATTAGGGAAGTGGGTTCAAGAAGGGTTGTATTGGGCCCCATGTAATTTTGCCACGGCAACGAGCATGACCTTGCTGTACCCCTTTTGCGATGACTCTTCTCTCATCGGTTGTGGTACTGGCAGATGGCATGCAATACACCAGGCATACACCATGCATACACAAGCAACTAGCTCAGGGTCAAACAGCCCTCTGCCGTTTTCCTGCAAGACCTCTGCGGCTCTTCAACCTATAACGGCGACTGTCCGCCAGGATCGGCGAATTGGGCGCAAATGATGTAGTGAAGCCGTTTCCGAACCGCTTCAGTTAGATCCCTCCGGATTCAATTGGAAGTGGCCTTTCAGCATCTGTGCAAAGATGCGAAGCAAAACCTGATCCGGTCGGCCTTGCAGGAATTGGAGGCGAACCTCGCTGATCTCCATCTGTTGTGGTACTCGTGGCACAAACAGACCTCTGCTGCTTTCCTGCAAGACCTCTGCGGCTCTTCAACCTGTTACGGCGACTGTCCGCCAGGATCCACTAGCTAGGTGCAAACGATGTAGACTGTAGAGAAGCCGCTTCCGAAAGGTTTCAACCTTACCTTGATACAAGAATGAACGAGTTCTGGGAGCAGCCTTAAAATTTCTGCGCAAAATTGAGTCCAAAATCTCCGTGGCTGGGGCCACACAGCTCAGGATCTCCGGCCCTGGGCTGTTACTTTTCTCCTGGGGCTCTTCAACCTACTACGGCGACTGTCCACCAGGATCCGCTGTACATAAATGCTCAAATGATGTTGAGAAGCCGCTTGAGACTCACCGTTCCCCAAGACCTGAATCTGGAAGAGTTGCTGATCCGAGCTGCCTTCGGCTAGCATTGCCTTTCTGGTACAAGAATGAGCGAGTTCTGGCAGCAGCCTTTCAACATCTGTACAACCTGAGCTTGCCCGGCCCGCGCGGTCTTCAGCCGGCAACTCTCCACGAAGCCCACCAGGCGTCTAGTTCAGGAGTGCTCAGCGAGGGCAGCTTTCCCCATTGGGTGCGCCGGGGACGGGAGCGGGGCAGTCCGCTTCGTGGAAGATCCCCACAAGACCCACAACGCCTGTGATGTCGATGACCTCCAAAAAGCCCGTCACACTTTGTCCATCGCCCCATCGGAAATCGGGGCTAGACACCCAGGCAGGGTCCGTGATCACGTCGCCGAAGACATCCTCGATATACTGCTGGCAGGCGGCCCGGGTGAGTGCCGTCTCGATGGCATCGTTAACCTTCTCCTTCACAGTCTCCTTGAACTTCTGCTTCGTTGTTTTGGTGGCCCAATCATCGGAGAAGTCCTTGGCCACCTGCCTCTTCAGACGGCCTTTCATACTTTGCTTGGCCGACGTCTTGACGTAGGTCTGCCAGGGGTTCAGTATCTGACTCTTGAGTCTCTACAAAATTAAGAGACTCAGACAACACTCCAAAGTCCCCGAGTGGCCTTGGCTGAATCCGACGCAGCTTTTGTCATGAGGGACTTGCCGGCCGATTTCGCCTTCCTCGCTGCGGCTTTTAGGGAAGCCTTCGCTGCTGCCTTCGCGCCTGCCTGAAAGGGGCCAGGGTTCCACGCTTCTTGCGAGAACTCCGATCTCCCCATATTCCTGAGAGCTGTTCCGTTCAAAGCTCAAACCATTCAGCCATCCCGCCTTCGCCACGACGGAAGTGCCCCCGCTGAAGACCACGGAAACGATGTCCAGGGCCATCTCCTTGCGGAACCGTGCATTCCGTTGCCGGGTGAGGGAGATCGAAGTCAGTACTTCGCACAAAGCTGCTTCATAAGCTTGATAATACGCGTTGCATTAGGCTTTGCAATGTGCTTTACACTAAGCTTTGCCCCAGGCTTTGCAATGGCCTCTACACAACGCTTTAACCAAAAGCTTTACCATAGGCTTTGCAATAAGCTCTACAGTTGGCGTTACAACAGTAATTTCTTGCAACAGGTGTTACATGGTGTTACAAAATCTTCCGAAAAGACTGTACAATAGGATTCCGAATAATCAGGCTTACAATAACCTTCCGAATAGGCTTTACAATAGGCTGTAGAATAGGTTTACAACAACAGGCTGTATAAGTGGCTGCGTTAGAATGCTTTACAATAGGCTTTAGGATCAAGCCTTGCAGCAAGCTTCACAAACGGCTTTCGAGTCGGCTTTGCAATAAACTAGCAGGCTGTGCAGTTTACGGCTTGACCATGAGCTTTACAATCGGCACCGGGCCCTCGCACCCCGCACCCACACGGCATCACACATCCCGAACCCCCGAGACCCAGGCCTCAACCCAAAGCCTCCAAGGCCTCCCTAAGGCCTCAACACCCTAAAGCTCGACCCCAGCAGCAATGATGGCGAGCGCAGCTTTGGCGTACTTGCCGGCCATGACGGTGGTGCAGGTTCCGGGGTCCACACCTGGGCTGCGAGGATTCTGTTCTTGGGGGTACTGCAGTGTTAGGAGGCCGTTGCTTTTTTCAAAGGGATTTAGGGCTGCGCTTGAAGTTTCTAGGACTTCTAGGGCGTTCTAGGGCGTGCTAAACAAGCTCGTTGATTTGGCTCTGGGGTGAGCGGGGTTTGAAGATGTCGGCCTCAGAGCATGGCACGGTTTCAAGGGCTGTCAGGGCTTGTCAAGCTTTTCATTGGCTTCTTGTTCAGCAGGCACGGCCCTGGCCCAGGGCCCAAATGGGGCGAGCGGCAATAGCAGGTGCAACGCTCCTTGCCGATCTTGCTGCAGTCGGTCCCTCCGCTTGCCTGGCAGTAGATCTGGAAGGGGTCGTAGAGATCCTGCGGGGGCATGTTTCGGAGAGCGACGGAAAAGGTGAACGAAGTGCATAAAGGCTTTGCGTTCTTGCCACTTGCAGGATGCCTCGCATCTTCCCGTAACAAAACCCGCCTGCTCACTTGCGTTGCCAGATGCTGCCAGCTGCAGTAGTGTGGCGTTGCTGCGGAGCTGCTCCACGAAAGCCACGCATGGGCTTGACTCCCGCCTGGAGAGCGAAGTCTGGATCCCAGTGGGGGGAGGGGGGGGGGGGGCAGCAGCAGGGGAAGGGCACATTGCTGCTGAGCAACTCTCCCCGCTCAAACTGCGTGCCCTCCTCTGCCAAGGATGTCTTCGAGCCATAATCGGAGTGGTGCGGAAACAAGGAAGACCGGGCCGTCATGCCAGCTCGCCTTTACTAAGCCACTATGCTGAGATGCAACTTCTACTGCAACGTTCACGCGAAACACACACACACACAGAGAGAGAGCACTCAAACGCCGCCCGCGGCACCAGCACACACTCGAAGGCTTCAGCAGCTGGTCGTAGACAGCTGCAGCGGACATGCCCTCGCAAATGGCTTTCTTATTCTGGTATACGAAGTTGTCGGCCTTAGCTTCATGCTTCACGTGGCTACATGCACACGCCACATGAAGCTCCCCCGACCTTGGTATTCATCTCCTGGACCGATAGGGGCTGCGAGTCCTTCCCATTGATCAAGTCTCCAGCAGTACTGACGCCAACCACGCCGGCAAACTGCGTGACCACAGACGGTGGCGCCTTGCTGCCGGTGGCCAAACCTCAGTTGCAAGGGAAATTGATGTAAATTGCCATGAGCTGTTTTTGTGTGACTTGGGAGCTCCTAACGATTCCAGGAAACCACACCACCAAGGGTTCCACTCCACTTTGCCGTCACAGTGGAACTTGATCTGGAGTGTGTCGAAGTAAAGACCCCATCGCACCTTCTCTTCCGTATTGCCGCAATACCAGGTCAGTGCTTTTCCTTGGGTCTGCGGCGTCGGGAATTCCCACTCACAGATCTGGTTCTTGTAGCACTTCTTCCATGTATCTTCTGCATCTCCCACCTTGATCTGGATAAAGTTTGCTGAGCTACACCGATCCACTGTGCCGTCTGCGATAGAGCAGCAACCACGATCTTTGGGAGACTCCCGCACCCGGGGCATTGGTGGGGCACAATATTTGGGGTAGAAGTCAATTCTGTTCCCGTCGTAGTGGATTCTGGCATTTGTTGCAGGGGGGCTGAAGCCCGTGCGCTCGTGGCCGCTGCGCCTCCGCCCGCAATCCCAACGCACTTCACCGGTACCCGCGGGCTTCGGCGTCAGCCTCACTTCCTTGTTGCCTCTTGGGAGCCAGACGTGAGGTGTGCTCTTCATGTACACATCACCGCTGCTGCACGCGTCGCTCGTGTGCACGAAGTCACCGTTCTCGCAGCATGCTGGCGGCACCAACACTCGCTCGTAGGTGGCATGGGAGGGCTCCGAGTTTTGTGCGCAGTTGTCCGTGTCAAAGCGACTGCAGGTATGTCCCTGTGCAAAGGAGAAGTACTTGCATCTTCGCTCGGCTTCACATGCGGCCATGCAGTTTTGCAGGCTGTTCTTGTTCCCGTTCGCCTCGAAGCCGGCATAGTACCCGTGCCTTCAAACTCCGATGGAAACATAGCTGAACACGTTGGAAATGGCCTTCTTGTACGATCCAGTGGTGATGGCCACGTGGAGGTCACAGCTGTCAGCGTTGTATCGGCTGCATGTTCGACCCGGCTCGTACGAGAAGTACTTGCACTGAGGCTCTATGTCGCAAGCATACTTGCAATTCTCCAAGTCGTATTTGTAATCGTTGTCCTCCCAACCAGCGTAGTAGCCCTGATTGCAGTAGCCGACGCCCCCAAACATATACTTCTCCCGCTTCGTCTTCCTGTAGCTGATATGATACTGGTCCTTGTTGGTCTCGCAGACATCCGTGTCATAGCGGCTGCAGGACTTTCCTGGATAGAAGCTAATGAATTTGCACTTGTCTTCCCAACTGCATGCCTTCATGCAATTCTCGAGGCTGTCCTTGTTGCTGTTGGCCTCCCAGCCAGCATAGTAACCCTTCTTGCAACCACCATTCATCACATATTCGTACCATCCCGTCCACAAGGGGTGGAGGTCGTAGAGCTTCTTGTACGATGTACTGGCGCTGTCCACGTGGGTGGCGCAGCTTGTTGCATCGTATCGGCTGCACGTGCGGCCGGGCTGGTACGAGATGTACTTGCAGCGAGTCTCCATGGCGCATGCGTGCTTGCAATTGTCCAAGCTGTCCTTGTAATGGTTGCTCTCCCAACCAGCGTAGTAGCCCTGATTGCAGTAGCCGGTGCCCCACCATGTATACCTGTCCGGCTTCTTGGAATAGGTGATATGATACTGGTCGTTGTTGGTCTCGCAGACATCCGTGTCAAAGCGGCTGCAGGACTTTCCGGGATAGAAGCCAATGAACTTGCACCTTTCTTCCCGACTGCATGCCTTCATGCAATTCTCGAGGCTGTCCTTGTTGCTGTTGGCCTCCCAGCCAGCATAGTATCCTTTCTCGCAACGACCCTTCACCACACACACATAGTCACCCAAGACACCAGTCGTTTCCATGGATGTGGGACACACGGCGGAGGTGAGCTTTTTGTACGTTGTGCTGGCGCTGTTCGCGTAGATAGTGCAGCTTGTTGTATCGTATCGGCTGCACGTGCGGCCGGGCTCGTACGCGAAGTACTTGCACCGAGTCTCCGCGTCGCATGCGCGCTTGCAATTGTCCAAGCTGTCCTTGTTGTTGTTGCTCTCCCAACCAGCGTAGTAGCCCTGATAGCAGTAGCCTTTTTTGTCAACCTTCTCATACCCGAAGCCTGTTGAGCCAGCCGTTCCCATTGATGTGGCCAGCAGGGACTCACCGAAGTTTTCTTCCGTCACTTCGGCAACGTTCGGAAGGCTCCGCTGCGAGGCCTGGAAATATTCTGGGAAGGGTTCGTGGGCCAGTTCTCCAGGCTTACTATGGCTTGCTGCAGAGTTCCAGGGGTTGGGCACGGTTGGGCACAGTTGGGCAGTTTGGGAGCCTGCAGAAGCGACGGGCAAGAAGGCGTCTGGTCGGAGGACACCAGGATGACCAGAGGTAGGAGGACATACGCGCCAAGCCTGGGTTGAGGGGTTAGCTTAGTGGGTTTAAGGTGTTTAAGGTTCAAGCTTAGTCTTGATCGACGATGCGACGAGGCCCCTTGCCAAAGAAACAGAAGAAACTAGTTCTAAAGCGATGGGACATCTCGATGGGCAACAGCTGCTTAGCTGGTATGGCGATCGGTAAGAAAAGGCGGAAGATGAGAGAAAGCTATGCGACTGAGCCGAAAGCTGATGAGCACATGTGGGCAGACGGAGCATCTCCAATGGGGTGCAAGAGGGTCCATGCCCCAAGGCCCCCAAAAGAGAGCAGTTACTGCAGCAGCATTTTGGCTCCGCTTCCATCCCGCTTCAGGGCCTGCGCTCTCCATCTCCAGATGGGGCGACTCCACAGCTTTCGGCTCTTCACCTGCGACTCCACAACACCACCCATACGTTAAACCACTGCGAACACTACGTCAATACCGCTACAACCCGAGCCCTCCTAAGGCCCCTTAAAGATGCTCACGTTCTAGAGCTGTGCACGACAATCATAGGCGCAACGCATATGCACGCATGCAGCAAGTCAGCAAGGCCCACGGCGGAACCTCTCGTTCTGAGTTCTGAGCTTCTCGGTTCGGAGGACTGCGTGCAGAGAGTGCAGGAGGACCATTCCTGGACCAAAGATGACTGATGAGATATCCTAGCATTCCCAGCGAATGCACCATCACAATGTCCTTGGCGGTGAACTGTTCTTTTCACGGCCAACAACGGAAGAGCTGAAAATGCGAAACATTACAGGCATCCTCCGGATGCCTGTGTAGCAACGTATTGAGAATGCACTGGAGGCTTCACAAGCTTACATGCTATATGGTGACTGGAACTGGAACGCGCGGCATCTCGGCCCGGACAAAATGCCAGTGGGTGAGGGCTCGCCGACCCACCTGGGTCCTTGTTCGCATGTCAAAACTGGGGCCTGCATCAACTCTAGTCACTCTAGTCAAGCACAGCGACGATAAACCATTGCAGCCTTGCGGCGTACTATATATGAAGTATGGAGCCGATGCCTTCGTGAATCTTGGCGAGACGGAAGCACGGGGAAGGTACCCCAGCGCGCAACCCTCAGCCCCTCAACTCATCTTCTCCCGATTCTCCCTCAGCTTGGCCAGATGCCGCTAGGAGCGCCTCATGGCCACGCGCCTTGCCCTGTGCACTCGAGCATGGCAGAAATCGCAGGACGACTTCTGGCAGCCGTTTGGGCTGGCCATGAAGGCGCAGGGGCGGCAGCCGAGGTTGCAGCGGCGTTGAAGTGCTCGGCGTCTTGCGGCTCTCTCTTCCCTCCTTCGCTTCGCCAGCTCCTGGTCCAATTCGCCTCGCAGCAGGCTGTCATTCGCTTGAGCCGCCTCGGCCTCCGACTGTCAGGCGTCTGGAAGAAGCAGAAGAAGCAGACCCACCTTGCCTACCCTTCCCCCTCGCCGCGTGGGGAAGCTGCCGTCCCATGCCATGGGGGACCAACACTCAAGGACCCCCCTTTTCCCGCCCCTGCTGGGACCCAAGGCCAGGATGCTCCGTATTCTGCTGGCGGATCGCGTCCTCAACACGAGGGCAAGGGGCTGGACCGCCCCTTGCAACTTGTGCCCCTTCAGTGGCCGAGGCGGCTGCAGTCAAGCGCTACGCCGCTACGATTGGCAGGCAAAACCGCAGGGAGCTAAGCAACCCACATCGAAGCAAGAGACCCGAACATGTTTAAACATGTTAGCAAACAGCAGGGTAGCGACATCATTTCAATCTTGCGTGGCAGCTTGTCTGAAAAGTGTGCTGTGTCGAAGTCCGTGCCTTCCAACCCCTTACTTTGACTGCAACGCTGCAATCTTTAGGGCGACTGAGGGCGCGTCCTTGCCCCTGCGACTGCATGTGAGGCCCATCCAGCTCTGGGTTCGGGTTGTCCATGTCTTCTTTGCGAGGAGTCGGGCAGACCCCGCACTGGGGCGCCGTTGAACAGCTTACCCGACTCGAACGCAAGCTGATAAAAAGGAATCTGGCTGCCCCTGGACCAGCTAAAGCTCAAAGGCGCCTTTTGAGAGCCAAATCCGAAGGCAACGGTGATGCAAAGGACATACTTGCAAGTTTTGTACAGGGCCGGATCAGGACTGGATCTCAAGTTGGGCTGATGCGGGCTTGCAGTTGTTGAAGCTTGGCCCGTTGGCTTTGGCCGGAACGGGCTTTACGGGCAGTGCTCAACAGACCTGAAACTCATGGCACCTCTGCAACCCGAGAACCCCTTTGAAAGCCGCTCTTCGAACTGAGGAGAACCTCCGGGAAAGACTGCTCGCTCCCGTAACTCAGCTCCAAGCGAAAGCTGCACTCCCCGCTCTTTGCAGGGAGCAACTCCGGCGCACACCTCCGCAAAGCTCATGCAGCTCTAAGGGGGGGAAAAAAGGGGAAGAGAGCCGAAGAGAGCCAAGGCCGTCGGCAGAATTGTGCGACGTGTCAGCAAAGCTTGGTGGCGGTAGGACTTGCGCCCAGTCTATGGCCCATTGCAGTTGTTAAGGACCGCGGCAAACTAAGATCAGACGGCACACAGAAATATCCGGAAAACTACCACACCGGGGCGTGACCGTTGTCAAGCAGAGGTCTACCTGTTTGAGGCTGGCCATGAGGGCTGCAGTCTCGGTTTTGAGTGGGCTTAGCGAGATGTCCTTGGAGGGACTATGGAGACTACAGTCTAAAAGCTTTCCGAGCCTCAAGGGAGCTCACCTTGATTTGCGCCGAGGAGCTCCGTCACCAACACCGTCTGCACGTCCTGGCGGTGGCTGCTTCGAGTTCCAAGGGCTTCCAAAACACTCGATGCCTTTCTTCATGGCCAGGATGCATCGGAAACAACAAGGAGTTGCCAAAAAACCTTTGCCAAACTCTGCCAACTCCGACTAACCTAACAGACATGTCAAAGGCTTCACAGTGGCTTCACAACCTTGAGCCCCAAACCCACACGAGCCCTCAAGACCTGAAGGGCACATGAAAGCAGTGATGTCTCTTATTTGGCCCCGAAAGCCGAAACGAAAGATCGACGACTGTACCTTACTTCGTGCTGGCAGCGCTTGGGGTACCCCATTTTGGGTACTTCATGGAAGTTTTCTTACGAGGAGCCCTGCCCAAAAGCTGGAGTCAGGGTACTCTTGGGCATCCTGGGGTAGACGATGGATTGACGCGCATGTTCTCCAACAGCGCCATCCGCTTGCCAGTCCCATAAGCAACCAGCCGTCCATAATTTACAGCTCTTGGAGTCCATAATTGGACGTCTTAACTCGGCGATGCAGCAGTTTCGACCTCCTTGGGCGATGAATGGTGGTGCTCCTCAGGTCTTCGAAGAGGCGCTCGGCGCACGGTAGTTGAATGGAACCCAGTTAGTTCCGTGACCACGCACTGCGAGACGGAAGGGCTTCTCTCGCCGGGTGATCACGATG